ATGGCGTTGAATGGTGGTGGCTTGCAACGTCCCGTCACAACGCTCGCCTGCAACTTTGAACTCGCAGTCTGCAAGCTCCAAGTGACTGGGTTAGCAAGACGCCAGCGCTGCGAGATGTGTTGTTCTGGTACCTGTGCTGATCAGCAGCTGCAACGTTAGATCGTGACGAGGGTACAAGCCTTTGGGTGAGCGCGGGTAGGCCACAGCTTTCTACCGCCCTAGCATCCACGCCCCAGGTGTGTGGAAAAAGACAAACGGGTCGTCCAGTTGCGTGCAATGGATCCATCTGCTGAGAATAATGGTTGAGCATTCAAGTGCCCATTGAAGAACTGTTCTGTGAAGAAGGCTTCTCAGCTCGGCGTCAACCGGACCCGTTTCCGTTTGTCGATAAGCGTCTCTGATGTGAAGGTTCCAAGTGACGAGGTCGCATCAAGAAGAAAGGTGGACAATGATGAATGATTGACGATTTGCCGCCTGGTGACCGGGGCATGTCCGCCGCGGGCCCCGAAGACAGTCGCCGAGAGTCAGCGACTGAAGCCGACTCCAAGAGTGCTGATGCAAAGCCGAGAGAAGAGTGCCAAACAGCTGGATGGGCGAGTTGTGTATCACCCTTGCTGGGCCAAGAATGAAATGAGAGAGATGCCCGGCTGTTTCAAACAGAGATCGGTGGGTGGTCTAGTGTGGTGCTTCTGCTGCCTCGGAAGCGGGTTGAAAGATAGAAAGATGCTTGAAGGGTTTGAAGGTGCGAGGAGTGCCAAGCTCCTGTGACATTGGAAGTGAGATGAATCAGAGGGGTCGTTGTCATATGATTTGAGGAGTTTCTGCTGCCCCAGCCACATGGGGAGAGTGCAAAAGAAGAGAAAGTGTGATCTGTTGGGTTCTTGTCGCCGGAGGAACGTGGAGTGAAGAATGAGATGTGTTGAGCCATATGTTTGCTTCTGCTGCCTCAGAAGAAGAACAGGAAGCAGGGGAAAGAGAGAAGTCCAAACAAGGTGATTGACGTGTTGAGTGCCGAGCTCAAGTTGCCAAGAGAACGAAGTGAGGAGAAAACATTTCTGCTGCCCCAGAAATGCCGAGTGAAAGTGATAAGGTTCGGGAATGGAGAGAGTGCCTTGTGAAGTACTGATTTCCTCACACCAGAGGAAAGTGAAGTGAAGTTCAAAGTTGTTGAATAAGGCGAGATGCCAAGTTTCTGCTGCCCGAGAAACGTGAGGTGAAGGCAAGAAAGTGCCAAAGAAGTTGAAGGATGTGTGTGTGCCAAGCTCCCGATAATCAGGAACATAAAGTGAAGACCGAACCGGTCCAAGTTGCCGAATCGGAGTGAAGTGCCGAGTTTCTGCTGCCCCAGAAACGTGAAGAGTAGCCAGGAATGGCCAGAGAAAGATGTGTGAAGTGTTGATTCCTCCCGCCAGAGGAAAGTGAAGTGAAATTCAGAGATATTGAATAAAGTGAGTTGTCGGGTTTCTGCTGCCCCAGAAACGCAAAGTGAAGACAAGATTTGCCGGAAGAGTTGAAGAAAGGTGAGATGTCAAATTCCTCTGCCAAAGGAAACTGAAGTGAGGGAAATGAAGTGATGACCCAGAATGAAATGCTACGTCAAAGTGGACTGACGCGTTTCTGCTGCCCCAGAAACAAAATGAGAGAAGAAGGTTGAGTTCACGAGTGCCAAATCGCGAGCTGAGAGTGCGGGTGAGAGAAGAGTGTTGAACGTTTCTGCTAAGTCAAACCCCCCACTTCCTGGCACCCCCCTGTTTCTGGCACCCACAAAAACGATGGGATCACAACCCAACCTCCTCATTACTATTAACTATTGATCCTCAACCACACCCACTACAATACAACTGCCAGCCTCACTAGGGCATTCAGAGTCGCTGGATTCAGCCGTAATAACCTCCTTTTCACCCGCTTCGATTTGAGCCCGATGGATATCCCTGATGTTCGCAAACTTCATCTGAACAGTCTTCCTCTTCCTAACTGCAGCGTTGGTAACTTGAGCCCTCAGGTGAGCCAGCTGCTGCTGGGCAGCTGCCAGTTGCCAGGCCTGCTCTGTGAAGCCTTTTTTCACCTTCCTGAACAGCAGCCGTTGAGTGCTGGTATCATTGTCGAGTTGGGTGTATAAGTGCAGTTGACCGCTGAGCTCTGCCAGCTTCCTGGGTGTCGACCAGACCACTGCAGAGGAAGCAGAATCCATGGCTCAACAGGGTAGTTTGTTGACCATTATGGCATCGCTTTTGCCCCGACTGGTTGGTTTGGGTGTGGTGGGCTTAGCAGAAGGCTCAGGTAATACCATAGGGTTCATCAGGGGCTTAACCATCGCTACAGGGTGTAGACCAGTCCACTTCCAACCACTTCTGATGTTCGAGACTGATAGACCAGCAAGTCGAGCCTTCTGGTAACAGTCCAGGAAGTTCCTTTTACCTATAATGGTAGAGTCGTTCCATTGAGACAAGTAACCGAGCTCCTTCCGATAGGCTGACTTAACAGGGCTGAAGACAGACTGGTCAAGTGGCTGGAGGACATGAGAGGAGTGTGGTGGTAAGAACAGTAAATGGATATTGTTAATATAGCAATTCCACATGAAGTCTGTCGTCGTATGACTCCCATGCCCATCCACAATCAACAGTCGAGCCTCGCCCTCAGCCTCGGGCATAGTCTGTGGGATAAACACCTTCTCTAACCATTCAATGGCAGTTAAGTCTGTAGTCCAGCCATTATCTGTTGCTGTAAACTCCCACCCATCGTATGGAACCAGATGTAATGGAAACCACTGTTGTTGGACCGTCTTCCCTTGAAAATGATAAGAGGACGAAGTGCCCTACCCAAGGCTGAGATACACTCAATGATAGAGACCCATGCCCTCGACCCAGGTTGTTTCTTGCGAACAGACGTCGTCTCAGCCATGCCCAGCACTAACCCATTAGCTCCCTGACCCTCGAGGATGCCAGTCTCATCCATATTATATCTGTTGGCTGGTTTGATGTCCTTGATCTCAGGGATAGCAAGGAACTTAAACCAGTTCCTAATGACCTCAGTAGATGCCCCATTAACGCGTCTAGAATCGATGGAACGACTTCTCTGAACCTTAATGATAGGGTTCCTTCTCACGAAGGCATAGATCCAGCCTTTTCCTAATGGTTTGGTATCCCCAGCAGCAGCCAGAACTCGCTCTGCGAATTCCTTCACCTGTTGGTGCGTTGGTGCGAGGCCCAGCGAAGCCTGAATGCGAACCCATTGTGCCAGCTACTCTCCTGGTCAGGAGACAGCCTCTGCCAGTCAGCAAAAGCCACTTTCCTAGTCTGACCACCTTGGAGACGTAGTTGGAGGGTTGATCGTGGTATCCCACTCCAATGAGGCTCTTTTGACTCTTGCCGTTTGAGATGTCCTCGAGAGCCTGACGAAGCTGATCTTCGGTATATTGAGGCATTAGATATAGAAGAAGGTATGTGCAAAAATGAGCCCATTTGGACTCAATTGAAAATGTTGTGATAAAAGGAGGTTGGGGTGGGCATTGCGTTGTGGTGGATTTTCGCGTTTTTGTGGGTGCCAGAAACAGGGGGGTGCCGGGAAGTGGGGGGTTTGACTTACCCCAAAAACAGATGATAGATGAAAGCCAAGTTCACGGGTGCCAAGTCGTGAGTTGAGGGTGAGCATGAGAGGGAAATGCTGGTTCTTCCTGCTGCCCCAGGAAGAAGATGAGAGAAGAAGGCTGAGTTCGCGAGTGCCAAGTCGCAAGCCGAGAGTGTGGATGAGAGAAGTGTGTCGTGTTCCTGCTGCTCCAGGAACACTGTGCCAAGACCAAAGTCGAAGCGGATAAAAGCGTTGGTTGAAAGTGCAATGCCGAGTATCTGTGGCCCAAGAAACATGATGTGAACCGAGAGCCAAGAGCTTGAAGGCAAAAGTGTGAGAAGTGCCAAGTGAAAACAGTCTGCCAAGTTTCTGCTGCCCCAGAAACGAGAATGCATGGTGAGAGACATGATGTCTGACTGTGATGTCTCAAGAATGATACGTCTCAAGAATGCCGAAGCGTCGACCAAAGGTCCTTGATTCGTGGGAATGAGATGAGGACAAATGGTGAAGTTTCTGCTGCCCAGAGACCAGGTGTGAGCATGATTCGAATGCATGAAGAATCAAGCTTGACAAAGGATGGACCAAGATGAGTTGTGGGAGATGGAGAAGCCACCCATGTCCGTGAGTATGTCGGAAAGTCAAGAGTCTGTGGAGACATTGTCGAATGAGAATGTTGTCGAGTGAAGAGTGGTGGTCGAACCTCAAGGCAAGGTATGGATGGTTGCCGAGGTTGATGACCGAGGTGATGAGCCTCTGTTGATTGCAGTCTCGCAGGTAGCTGTGCAAACTACCTGTGCCAAAGCCACATTGCAGATGGTATGATGGATGTGCAATGGGTTCGGAGTGATGAGAAAAGTGTTGAGTGTTGAGACTGCAAGGAACCCTGGGGTGAACAATGCCTGGTGTGTGTTTGATGGTAGGCAAGAGTTCGAAGTCACAATGTGTGTTTATTGAAGTTGAGAGTGAGAGTGAGTGTGAAAGTGAGTGTGAGAGTGAGAATGAGTGTGTGACTTGTCGAGAGTTTGAGAGACCCAGGGGTGGCAGGCTGTGTTCCAATGACAGAACAGTGACCCGCCGTCGCGTTAGCTTCGTCGTCTTCGATCGCCCGATCGCAATTTCGACTACTAACAGCCGACACCAGCGTGAAGGTGCGACATTGTCGGCCTTGTTTTTTAAAGAGGTTGTCATCCTCCAAGTCCAAACGAAATTTCGAATGGATGGGCGAGGCCTGTCAGGATCATCAGTCCTGAGAAGGCGTAAACATATTGATGCCTGTGTGCACGGCAGGCTGGCATGGCTTTGCAGGAGATGGCGAGACAAGGTGAGTAGCTGGTTCCTCAGTCTCCACGGAGGGGCGCGTAACCGACCACACAACCGTGTTCCAGGGTGCGACGAGGCGATAACATGTCCTCAAGTCGCCGGGCCGGCGTAGTCTAGTCCTCTGAACTGAACCCGTGTCGGCGGCGGGAGACGGGGTTGCGGAGGGCCGGGGGGAGTGGCGTCAGGTCGATGCTCGGCGGGAGAGTCAGAGAGCGCGCTTCCATGAACGCTGCCCACTTGGGGCCGAAAGGAAGGTCCTCAGAGGGGCTGGTTCCGTACTCCCACACGCGGCGCGGGATTCTCCAGAAGAATGGCCATTCCCAGATGCTGTCGCCGAGAGCTGCTCGAAGGTTGCCGATCAAGCCCAAGTCCCAGGGATTGAAATCGACCAAGACATGTTCGAAGCCGTTGCTCCCATTGATCACCATGGGCCATGCGGGCTTGGGGCGGCCGCGGATGAAGATTCCGGTCTCCAAATGGGTCTGGTTTCGGCAGGCCTGGTTGAGCCACTGTCCCCGAAATGGAGCCCTCTTGACCCAAAAGAAAACAAAGGGGAGAGATGCAGCAGCCACAACAACAGGAGCCAGAACCCACCGAGTTGACCAGGAGGGGATCGCCCAGAGAATCGTACCGAGAGAGAACAGATGGTAGATCAAAATCCACACCGTAAAAAGGAGGTAGGATTTCTGGGTTTGGAGCGACACCGCCGTCCACAACCACCAGCACTAACAAAAGATAGTCAGCCAAGTTCGTTTCATATTTCATTCCCAGCGCAGCTTGTGAAAAACTTTCCAAAAAGTTCCCTCAGAGGACTGGGCCAAAGCCATGGTCACCTTTCCAGGAGGAAGTGGAAAGAAGAGCTCCGAAACAAAAAAAACAAAGACAACTTACCCAGTGATCGAACAGGGGAATGCAGCCCAGGTCCTTGCCCTCGTAGGTCTTCCCGTGGTATATTCTGTCCAGAATAGGCCGGGGGCCCTCGCCAGACTCCGGGTCAGAGAAGAAGAGACAGTGGCGGCAAAGGTTCGGACGGAGTCCCTCGGTAAACCAATGGCGCGCATTGTCCTCGTTTGGCAGTGCCTGCATGACCGGCTTCAAGAAAAACTTCGCCCCTTCCGGAAAGGTATACCCGTGTCTGACTATACGCCAGGAATACACCCAAATCACGCAGAGCGGGCCAAGGGTATGGACGAAAACGAAGAAGTAAACACCGAGAAGGACACTGGCAGTAGCGGCGGTCGAGGAGAGAGGTTCAACCCAAACGGGCGGGGCTCTCAAGGCAGGCAGGAGGTGCACCGTAACTTATATAGATCAGTATATACAGGCAAAGAGGCAGAATAAGCAGAGGACATACCCAGAACGTGACAAACGACCCAAGTGGTGACGACGAAGTCAAAGACCAGCAGCACCGGGATGTAGGCCGAGACCTTGGCGAAGATGGCCTGGGCTAGAGTGCTGAGCACTCTCAAGAGCCACGTGATGGCAGCGGCGGCGGAGTCCATGGCGAGGCAGGAGCAGGGCAGGGCAGTTTGGATGAAAGGATCAGAAGATTGGATGAAAAATCACAGAAGAGCAGTTCAGATGAATTCAATCTGTAGTCAAGTTAGCAAAATCAGATCGAAAAGTCGTCCTTTGGGGGGGTCAACATACCGTTTCTTGTGGTCCGAAGAAGAGAAGAAGTTCAGAAGAGGGGAGCGGGGCGAGGAGAGGATTAAGTACGACGCCCACGAGGGGGATTTTCCGGGCTTCTTTCCTTCACTGATTTGGTCTGTGACTGCCATACCTTCCTCCTTTTCGATAACAAGCAGGCACGTCACACATGAAGACACCACAATGACGACACGAGTGGAAGGGACAGCGAGGGGAAGGTACACTATGTCGAGTGACGGAAGGCCCTTCATACAATCCAAGCAGCGTTCCAAAGTACCTAGGGGGAAGGTACGCCTTGCACCTCAAGGATGAATTCGCAACAGCCATCAACCATCACGAATACCACCGTCCGCGAAACTGTTTACACGGACGCAGCATAGACGATGCCTCATTCCTTCTTGGGTACCAATCGTGTAAAGTATACTGTCACCTTTCTTCCAGAATTCAGCGAGTCAATCGAGCACATCATTCTCCTCTGGGTTAACTGAGCTTTCTCCTGTAAGGGTGAGGAAGTAGTCTGTTGACCTGTCACCGGGAAACAGTCGCCCATGGGCGGTATGTGCTTCCCCTAGCCATGATTCCTCTTGAAAGGAGCACGCAGAAAGAGCACGTTTCTAGGATCTGGGAGATCGAAGCAGCAGGCTCTCGGGGTGCTTATCTTGTCCTTCCTTCCATTCTACCTTACACGGAAGGCACCTTACGTTTGATTGCAAGTACCATCTGATCTTCTGTGAACGACAGGGTCAGTGCGCTCCTGCCTTTTGGTTCCTGCAGACTGTCAGGCAGGTCATGGGCGGGAAGGAACAACATTGGTGGTCAAATGTAGGAAGCCAAGATACGGCAGGATGGCCGGTACAGCATGAGCAGAAGTATGACCCATGAGGACGGAATTTTGGAACTACTACATTCATTGGCTTCGCGGCGGAGAGACGAACGACTTGGGCAAAGAATCGCTGTAGATCGAGCGAACCATGCAATACGAAACAAGACTGAGAGCACCTTATCCTTCATCCTGAATCACAGCAGGAATCTTACAGGTTTTCTCTGGTATCAGCAGAATTGACGACTGGTACCTAGTCACATCGATGTTCATGTACAGTTGGACATCAAGGGTCTTTCCTGGCATCCATTTCTAACGGGACCTACTTGATGACTGGACAGGCAATGACGAGCACCCATCCGGCGAAGGATTGCGAAGCAGGTAGTCACCTCAGCCTGGTACTTACATGATGTGTTCTTACCCGACCGTCCTTGTCGGGTGTCCTGCCCCTGCCTCCTCGCCATAACAGTCCTTCCCCAATCTCCCGGACAAGGTAGGTAGGTGATGGACACCTCCCATCCCTTCCAAAGAGCAGCCGCGCTCGGTGAATTGGACGGGTTGGTGACGTCATTGGATTTCCATCGAATTCGAAAGGCAACAGGAGGAAGATATCAGGTAGCCACGAGCCCGTGGTCCTTTCCCGGGCATGGTAGTGTGACTGAAGGTGAGGTGTCTTTGCACTTGTGGAAAGGCAGGTACATCGACCGTTGAAATCCGCTTTTATGATTGGTCGTATGTTTTTGCCATTGCACTGTCTCACATATGCCCACCAGTTGATTACCTAAGGCACCTGGCCCTCAGCAGGGTGCGGTGACCCCCGTCTGAACCCACCTACCTAAGGTAAGGTACCTTAGGATCCTCACGCGCCTCACATCATGCTGAGGCAAAGCTTTTGGTGGCCCTGTGTTCTCCTTCTTCGTCTGATGTGGCGCAGTGCTTGCTGCGCACTAAGAATGATCGTTGAGGTGTGGATGGCCATATGATCGTGTTACTGACGAGGCCTCGTCCTTTTATTTTGCTCCCCGAGAACTGGATGATGTACAAGATTACACGCAAAAATCACTTCTCGGTCCGCAAAATGACGTCCGAATTGAGGAGGCTCTCTCATGTCGCCTCTGGGCTCTTTACTCACAAGGTCTTCCTTTCGACCTCTTGCATGGTCAGGTACCGGACAAGCGACCGGTCCTTCCATCTTTCGAAGGCATCGCGGGTCATCGGGTGCTCCTGCTTCTGCCTACCACGTGTGAATGGAACCCTGAATTTTAATGAACGAGATTCCTGTAGGACCAAAGGCCGCTTCTTTTTGATGCCGTGTGTGTCGACACTGACAGCATTCCAAAATCTCAATCCATTCCTGCGTAAGGTAAGGTAGATGGCCGAGAGGTTCCAACGCAAGTCAGCCAAGATATGGCCATCAGCAGAAGGGGAATTCTGGCAACGAATAGGTGGTGACATTCTCTCGAGCTATTTCCGAAACCTAACTTGAATACCATCTAAGCCACCTCAGTCCCTTTTCGGCCCGGCCAGCAACCACGACCTGTCGACGAAGGAGACGTATTTCCGGGCAATCAGTGGCTGTGGTCTCACAACCTTGAAGCTTGGTTCAAGGTCGCTTTGGTCTCACCGACCACGAGAACTGGCGCAGGCCAGACAAGGTTTCTCGAGGCCATGGTAGGTTTCAAAGCATCCGCCATACGCAACTCTTGGAGCGGAACACGTCCATCGACCCACTGCCAGGATGGAAATGAATGTTACCTATGGACAGGAATATAAAAAGGACCATACCTCCCAGAAAAGCACGATAGGACGCTTAAACAGAAGGCACTCTTCCACTTATAACGTCTCTGATTCTTAGGAACCAGGCCCTCTCCAGGCTTCATTCCTCATCTATAAGCATCTATCATTCACAAACTTCATCACTAATTCACTGCTCTTCTATCAACCAAGCATCCACCCTCATCCAGCATCACCTGTCAAGCCTCGGATTTTACCCAGGCGTCTTGGCACAGTGGACGCAAACGACATCACAAGAAGCACTACTCCACAACACAGTTATCAATCGCCAAGATGAAGCCTACCGCTGCCTTTTTCGCCATCCTCTCCAGCGTCTCTCTTGCAGTTGCAGGAGAAATTGGAGGGCCAAAGGAGGAAGAAAAGCTTTCCAGGGGACCACTCCCCCTTCACCAGCTCCCCGAATGCTGGCAGGGCTGTCTACAAAGCGAGAATCACTGGTATCGACCCGACATCAACAAAGTCAGCGTCTACTACTTCTGCGTGGATCCGCTGTTCGACACTCGCTTCTGGTCCTACCATGCCCTTGCTACATGCACGTACGGCGCTTGCAGCAAAGCTGAGGCTTACGTCGCGCAAGACTGGTACTTTGATATCTGCCAAATGAACTAAGCTTCAAGGCCAAGGATATCCAGTCAAAGTACCCAGAATCGACCAAGGAGGGAAGCAGCTTTTGAGGCAGTTTTCACTCTTCGATCAAAACACATTCGCAAATTGCGATTTATTGACAAATACCCCCGCGCTGCTACCACACAAACTTAGCAGAATGGAAATATTGTAGGAGTACACGACAGGAATTGGCGGGAAGAATGAGAGTATATGGGAACATTGTGAGATAACGAGGACAAGGAGGGTGTAATTTTGAGAACGATGGTTCGCGGCGTTTTGGTAATCACTCACTCGCTATAAGGAGCGAAGCAAAATACAAACAACTTCACTACCTTATGCCCCACACAAATCCCTGAAAGCGCCACCAAGGTCCGGAGTGTTGCAACTTCCAGTGATCGTTATTGCCTTCGAATAGTTCATTATCGTTCTTCTGTGGGAGGGAATTGAATGAGCGAAGATGAGTCGACGTGATTCAAGAGCCGCAATGCAACGCTCTCGTGAATCACGCCGAAAGAGAAGACGTGGTTTGCGCTCGCATGGTGATTGGCCGAAGCTCCGAAATCGAGTGTGTCATCCACTGCACACCACTTCCCCCCCGGAGCTAAGCCAACCCCGGTCGTCCATCATCGATCTCTCCCAGTAGTCCCATTCCCACTTCATCCTCATTCCAACCACCATCGTCGTACACGTATGATTTACCTACCTTAAACCTCTACGCATCATTAGATTCCCTTACCAGCCGAACCCTTTAGAACAGTCCCTAAATCTGCGATAGACGCCTCACAAAGCCCTGTCTTCTGCCCGACCACCTAGACTGTCTCTTATCTGCAGCACACACCCCGCGATCGCCGCCCTTATCGCCCCTTATCGGCAGCCCTGAACCCTACCTCTCCTCTGGCTCTCCTCTCCGTGTTTCGCTCCCAGCATTCATCCATCTACCTTATCCGATTCCCGATCCATTGCTGCCGCTGAAAGCCATCCCTCCACGCGATCATCACCCCGACCACCCAATATGGCAATCTTCAGCGCCGTCCCTCCCCCCGAGGCTATCGACCACCAGATCCCAAACACCGTCTCCTCGCCGCCACCCCAGTCCCAGACTCCAGTCGCCGCCCACCTCGCAGCCCAGAGCGCGACTGCCGGCTCCGTTGATATCGAGGCCTGGACTGTCTCCGCCCTCGAGTCCCTGAGCGTTAGCCCCATTGCCCGCGGCACGGGAACGCCGCTGGCTATCAACCTCGATGAGCAGGTCAAGAAGGCCTCTGCTGCCGTCGCGATTGCCACCGAGAAGACGACGACAACGACTGTACAGCAGACGCCTATCCGGCGACCATTGAGCAGGCGGGATAGTCAGAAGAAAAGGGAACAGCTTTTGAAGGGGAATGAGGGGAGTCGGGCGCGTCGGCGATGGGAGAATGGTAAGCCTCCCCTTCTCTTGGATACAGGAATCCTTGCAATGATGAACACATACCTGTGATCTTTCTTTGTCTTCCAATGGCTAACCACGTTGTTCCCCTCTCATAGATCGCCTCATTGGCGTACCAAACGCTCAGCCGCCCCTCCCAAGCGACTGGGAAGTCCATCCAACCTACCCGGTCCAAGTCGTCCCCTATCAAGTCGCCCAATACTGGGATACCGGTCTCCGCCAACGCATCGAGGAGAAGACCGCCAAGCTCCAGGCTCAGCGCAAGAAGCAGCAACGCAAAGACGGGTCCGCGACAGGCTTGTCTGTCGGCGAGGTGCCGCGCGACCTGCGCGACACGGCGAAGCGAACACCCGCTGTGCGCGGGTGGGTGCGCGTGCTCGAAGAACCCGTGCGGAGTTTTTTGAAGGAGCGGATTGAGGCGAGCGATGCAGAAGGAGATAGCGAGGACGAGGAGATTGTGTTTGTTGGCAGGAAGGGGATGACTTCCGCTGGCAAGGGGTGGAAGAAGGCTAGGCGAGAGGTGGGGAGCGAAAAGGTTGATGACGGGATGGTGTTTGATTCGTTGGGGGATGACGAGAGTGCCTCTTTCAAGTATGGCCCTTCTGCTCTTCTCTTTACGATGTTTATTGACCTTGGTGTTTTACAGGCGATGGTTGACGCATTCCATCTCGGATTACTACGGTCTACAATCCCACTCCGTCACTACAGGCGAGCCTGCCCGCCGGGTGGTGTACGTGACAGTACGGGAGCAAGGCAAACGGTCCAGTCCGAAGAAGCATACAGTCTTACCTCGGCCCTTGTGGGAGATGTGCTGAGAATTTTGCCGCCTTTTGCAGCATCACTCTTTTTGTTACAAATTGGACCCTTCCGACGCACCTGCAGACTTCATTTGCGAGCAGATATCCACGAAAGTTGGAGGAGGAAGGGATCTGTTATTTAGATACGTTTGAGACGCTTAAAGTATAGAGCATACCCACGCATGTGGCATCGGGAGTAGACAAAGTACGGTGATTTTTGCATCGAGATCCCAGACAGGCTATCAGCCTGGTTTGGAGACCCCCTGGGTATTGGAACCTTGAAATCTTGGGTGCTAGTCACCTAGCTTTGGTTGGCGAAGGCGAAGGCGATCAAGAAGCTCGCGATTTAATTCCATATATTTAACAGTGAGCTCAAACTTGACAGAGCATCTTCTGGGGCACAGCAATGGCGCCTTTGGGGATCCGGTAGCCAAATGCAGTATACCATAGGAATATTGCCCAAGGCAGTGAGATCTTAACCCGTACGAGGTGATCTACAATGCTCGAGGGATTACAACATGAAGAGCCCAATCGAACAGCCCGGCTTCACAAGCCTCTTTCCGGCTACAAAATATTCAGTCACGAATATGACAAAACCAGAGGTGTCATACGGAGTGGTGGCAAATGCTCGAACTGGGGATGGAGCATTACCCCGTGGGCTTAGCTTCAGACACGATATTCATGTGCTTACTGTACTCCATCGGAACCAGCTTGGCTTATTTACACGATTGGCAGCCCCCTGGGCCGCCATCCATACATTGCGATATCCAACCGAACTTCACTCCACGGGAGCTAGCTTCCATGTCGATGAATATTCGACGGTCATGGGAACGCCGAGGAACCCCGCGGCGCAACATGCACGAGAGACAAGATGGGTAGAACAATTGGCAGGATTAAGGTTCGGTCGTATTGCTCGCTTTCGTTTTGGTCGTTTTCGGGATCATGTTTTCGGGCTTTGGCGGTTATTCCACGGCAGATGCTTCGTTTTGCTTCTGCTTCACGTGCTCGGTACCTACCTCCGTGGGAGAGTATCTCGAAGTAAAAGGTAGCTATAGCGTCACCGTCAAAAAACACGCTGATGATCAGGTCACTGTGGAAACGTTACACGAATGGGGATGTATATCAACCTAAAAAAGGGGAAAAGAAGAATAGTATTTGCAAGGTCTCCCCGTTATTAAAATAAGTACTGCTACAACCTATGATGCCAGGCTAAAACAAAGTTAAGAGCGGTCCAATTAGGGGCACTCAATCGTCTGTGGCATTGTAGTTCTTGTGCGGGTCACCAATACCGCCTGGACGCAGCAGAGGTCTCGTCTCTCGCTCAACCTGCCGCTCCTCTCTGTCTTGTAACCGCTCCAGCTCCTCCTCCGTGTCGGCGTACCGTTCGGGATGGGCGGTGTAAGGGCCAGGAAGGCCTTGCTCCCAACCTTCCGAGTATGTTCTGGTCGGGTTGGGACGTCTCGGCTCATCGACGAGGGTTGGAGACTGCGGCTCTCCGTGATGCTCCTGGAATTCGTAGTAGATGGCCATGGCGAGAAGAACGCCTTGTATTGAGGCAGTTAGGACGAAAACGCCCCACGTGCTCCATCCTTCCCAGCCAAGGCGGGCAAATAGGCTTCCGGCGAAGAGGAAGCCGCCGGGGGTCTGGATGCACATCATGGGGATGCTCAAGCTGCCGACGTGCTTGATGTGGTAGGTTGTCCAGATCTGCGGAATGTACTGGACCGCGGCAAGAGCGGCGGCCATGACGCCGAGGAAGTTTGCCCACAAGTCGAGGTGGTCTCTGAGTGCGGTAGTGAAGACTACAGTCAGGATGATGACGAGCAGGCCGTGGATCAAGCTCACGGAGCCGACCATTATGGCAGTATGCCACGAGGGTGGCTTGTCGACCAGCTCCTCATCGGGAACAGTCGCGTTGTCGTACCGGAAGAAGATGAGGAATAGGACAAGGCTGCCAGAGGCACGAGTTAGTGTGTGTATGTGCCATTGGCGAACAAACATGGGAGGGGAAAACTCACATCAGCGCAAAGGAGATCCATTGCATGCCCAGTTGGGCAATTCCGAGTAGACCAGCAGCACATTCAAAAGTACCCAATTCGCTACAGCAGGCAATGTCGCGTCTCGAGGGCGGAACAGTCAGAATGTTGGCGAAGCCGGCAGTGGCGGACGTGACTCCCAGCAAGACGAACCAGGGCGAGATGCCTTCCGAGGTACCTCTTGCGATAATTCGGTAGTGCTGCGGCAGGTAGGAGACGATGAGACCGATGAGGATGATACTGTGCGGAACGAATTAGCTCATGTTCGGCATGTTGCAGAGACCCTTCGTAGCGCCTGACTCACATGGAAATCGTTAGGTTGAGGAAGCCAGGAGCGCGAAGCTCGGCGCAACGGTCGTCAAAGATTGTCACGACCATACTTGGTAGAAGGGTCGTCCGGAGTATAGCAATGTGCAGGCGTTGGTCTCGAAAGTGGGTTGCAATGAACAGCCTCGGCTGTTTTGGTGGGCAGTGACACCAGCTCTTTCTCGAGTATCACCACAGGCGGGTTGTCCGTCGCGTCGCAGAGGTAGGATGACGGGGTCCCGGAAACCCAAAGCAAAGCGGCAAGATGGAAGAGGAAGCAGTAGCTAGGCGAGCATTGCGTAATCGTCGGAAGGGCCAGAATAAGTAGTCGCGGGACTTTGGATTCGCCTTGGCTTCGCTTCTGTCGGTGGTTCGGTGATTTGGGTGGGGATGAAGCTGGAGTGGAGGAGCAGTCGTCGAGGGACAGAGGAGAAAGAAGGGACGATGGAGTCGGCAACAGCGAAGATGGGCGCGAGATAGCTCGGACTACGGCGACTTAGGTTGGCTGCAAGTTGCGGTGGTGGTGGATGGAGGACTGAAGGTGGCCTGCCTGGCTCAGATCGATGTGTAGGTACCTAATATGGAGGATACTGCAGAGATGATGAGTCGACCAGCCACGAGTCGAGAGAATGTCTCCAAGGTCTCACCTGCTGAGATCCACAGTACCTGGGCACCAAAGGCAAGGCAGACGGACACTTGAGTGTTGGAAGGTGAATCGAGCTGTCGAGTCGGTCTACTGGTTGTGGTGCTTTGGAGGAATAAAGTCCGGCACCAGCGGGGTTGGAGATTGGGTGTTAGGATGGAAGGAAAGCCACACGGGTGGCCTACCTTACCAGGCTACCTTAGGTACGGGCTGAGGTGAGGACGGGAGAGGCACGGAGCACGGGGAAACAGTGGACGGCGCAGTGCAACCTGCGAAATTCGTGTCACAGGCTCACAACGGGCAGGCCAAAGCAGTGTATTGTGAGCAGGTAAGGTACCTTTTCGTAGGTACCTTCCGCTGGTAGGGTCACTGGAGTGTCAGCGCGGCGCGGCGTTGCAGGCGGCAAGTCCCTCCCCAATCAGCGCTAGGACCAGGAACATGCATCGCTAGCTTCTCCCATGACGTCGCTGTCTCAGTGACCTCCACTCCTTCGCTGTGCACCTGCTCGCAGTGGTGTCGGGTCCGTATCTACGTACCTGAATCTGTCCTGGCTGAAACGCAGGAGTGCTTCGTTGCTTACCTAACACCATAGAAGGAAGGCACTCGCGAGTCGCGGTATCTTTGGACTTTGCAACACCTGCCGAGCACCGTACCGTACCTGCCTGGGGAAGCACATGAGGCACCTCACCTAACTTGCCTTACTTTGGTGCTTGAGGAAGGAAGCCGCTTGAGTTCTGGGGCTCTACTGCCGATCAACGTGCCTGCCCTCCCCAACTTACCCGGTAAGATACCTAGCTAGGTACTGCCTTCCTCGCCAACAGCGGAGACGGACTACATGATGACCCGACCTTCCCCTGCACACCCACTTGGTCGGTGAAGAAGGTGGTGAGCCAGTTTAGGCCAGTGGTGAAGGCAACAACCAGGGCCTCTCACCGAAACTGTCTCCACTCTTGCCAGGGTCACGGAAGTGAAGAAATGCAGACACAGCGCTCCATTCCTCCTCTTGCCAATTGCTCGACTCAGACTTGACCTCAAATTCAAGGCAAATGCGATGCATCAATCACATCACCACTGACACTTGCACACCGCGCCAACACGAGTCGGGGAGCATCCCATTCATCCCTTCACATTCCCTTGACTCCTTCTCAATGGCAAATAAGGTACCTGCACATTGCACTCCCGTTTAGCTTTCTGGACGATATCACTGCGATCTTCACGCCTGCAGAATCTTGATTCTTCAACGCCCTGCGCGATCCAGCCTCACTTTTCATCGCCAATCACACCCACTACTGAGTAATGCTAGTGCATCTTCATTACCGCCCATCTGCCCTCCAATTGTACCTTAGCCAACGATGCATCCCGCGGCGGAAAACAAGGATGCAGACCCCATGCAGCAACACTCTGACCTAGCAAACTCGGCCGAGGACCCCTCCCATCTTTCCGCCCCCTCCATGGACCTCGTAGCTTCCTCCGAGATAGCCGCTAGAGATTCTGATCCACCAGGAAACCACACGAGCTTCTTTCGCGGTGTCCAATGGACTCCTGACGGCACAACTCTCATCGCTTCAACGTCCGACAACCGGCTGTCGGCCTACGTACTGCCGGCAGATCTCCTCGATCCCAACGGCCGGCCCCGGACGTTGATGCCGCAGGGCCAACTGCGTCTACCGGAACCCTTCTACTCGGCAGCTGTGTCTCCCTACTTCTCCTTGACCGACCCGCAGACCCAGCTTGCACTTCTCGGCTGCAAAGACCACCCTATCCAGCTCTACCACGTCTTTGCAGACTCTCAGTCTTCGCCTCCGCTATGCTCCTACAAGCTTATCCGACGGGAGACAGAGGAGTACATCTGCCCTGAGTCCCTCTTGTGGTCCTGGCCCGGGACCCATTTCCTAGCTGGCTCGACAAATCGCCTCGACCACTTTGACGTATCACGGACTGGCTCTGATGGTCCCATCTTGACCATCCCTACCATCCCTTCCAAGCGGCATCTCCTCAAAGGTGGCGGCGTTGGCATGAAGGGAATGGTCTCTGCGCTGTCAAGCCAATACCCGGACGAGTCTGGCGCTTGTATCGTCGCCGCCGGCACCTGGTCCCGTTGGATGGGTCTCTACGACGTGACTCGGACAAACAAGGCCGTTGCGAACTGGAGCATCCAAGGCGTTGACAGGTCTCACTTCGGCCGAGACATCGGGGGAAACGGCATTGTTCAAACCATATGGAGCCCATGTGGACGCTATCTAGCAATCAATGAGCGACAGGCAAACGGCATTCTCGTCTACGATGTGCGTGGGACAGGCCAGCCACTGAGCGTCCTAGTGGGCCGAACCACCAACAGCCAACAAAGGCTGGCCTGCGACGTCTTCCCTGGTACTCGTGAATCGTCCGGTGGTTTCGAGCTATGGGCGGGAACAGAGACTGGCCAAGTTCTCGTCTATGAAGCTGTTGGCTGCACAGAGGGCGTTCATGACAAGTCATGGGACTGGGCAGCCCATCAATCACCCGTCGGGAGCTCAGGGGTCCACCCCACAGGATCGGTAATCGCCACTTGCTCTGGCGGATGGTCCAGCCACGGGGATGAGGAACTGGACAATGGCCTGGGTGTCGCGGGCAACGACGGCCAGCCCCGCCTGGCATCGACATGCATCAGCTCCGAATCATCACTCAAAGTCTGGGCCCTGGCTCAAGGTCCAATGGATCATCCAGCCGATGGCCCCGAGGCATCGTGAGCAACCTGATTTCGAACGCTCTTTGGTCTGTAACAGACGAAGCGCCTTGTAGGCACGTCTGGTATCATCGATGCCCCAACGACATTTCGAATCCCGAGTCCTCTGATGACTCCGCAGACCAAGGGCATCATCCTACTGCACGGGTTGGAACGCTTCGTGCAAGTGAGTCGCCCTAGACGTATCACGAGAAGGATTTCGCTGTCCTGAAAACATGATTGCGGTTCTGGTCTGACAACACTAGTTTGGAGGTGCTGATCTTGCGACGACTCCGGCTACCGTGATACGGCCCTAATTCCTCCGTTATAATGGCGAGATCAATGGCCTGTCGTGTATCTGGATCTGGCCGAGGTCTCAGCATGCTAGCTTAACGACAACAGGATTTCGGATGACTGAATCCAAGATCTACGAATAGCCAAAGAGCGCATGCATTCCTTTGCATGGCATGCCACAGATGTTGATGCGGCCTAAAATTGCTGAAGAGAAACCAAGGCACCCATTGCATATCCATATCCACGTCGTTCTGTGCAGATTCGGTTCCGCCGCCGATCAGAAGGAGCGTCGAGTCCCAGAGTCATCCGAGCTATTCTGTTCCTCCAGACTATTCAGCCACACGGATCAAGAACTGCCCGGCGAATCAGATGGAACTCGGCAAGTGGAGTGAGGACGCGGAAACTGGCTCAGGCCGTGTTGTGCGAGGGACCAAGAGGTCAGCCTCAGGTGCTGGAAGCAAATGTCGACTGCAGAGGCTGAAGAACCAGCTTGTGCCTCGCATACCCGAGCTCTTGTCAGCGGATATCAAGACCATACGGATGGAGAGACTGAAGTATAGGATTCACATGCCATCGTATTCTTATCCATGCAAAGTCTCTTCGGCCGAACCGGTGATATCAGCGCATTCAACTCAGCAGTGTCGTCATCGCCGACCTGGCCGGCCGATTCAGAGACTGTGCAAACAACATTTCAGTTGAGTTCTGCAAGCCACCATCACCATGTCGCCATTCTCTCCATATTGGAAAGCCTCGTCAGTTCCTCGCTGGTTCCGTCACACGGACCGCCGGCGAGGCCTTCAAACACGACTTTCCTGTCTGACTTGAACGGCGCCACGACCAAGCGTTCTCGCCATTAGACTATTCCCCGTTCTGGACAGACACTGTCGTTCCTGACTAGCATGCCCCACGTTGCAGCCTTAGCCCGACAAAGACCAGAATCTTCAGACGAGCGACTGGCTCCCGCTGTTCATGTCCTCTTTGGTTGGAATCGCGAGGCTCCCCGCTGACTCTTCGCATCGACCGCCTATCAATGGCCGTGCAGACGTCCCTCCCCCTGGCTTCATTGTCCACAAGGAGAAGCAACGGTCGCATTCCGATCGACATCAGATCCCACAAAATAAGGTCGTGGTCTATCTACTCGTGGCGGGCCATTGAACGAAACGACCCCGCCGATTGACTGGACACAACCAGCATCGATGGCATCTACAACCTGTATGCTCTTCAAGGAATCGACAGGGATTCTCTGGGCGATTTTTTGGAACCGCTATTCTACTTCGATGCCTAGAGCTGACGACGGTACCGGCCGAAAGCAAAACATTGAACGAGAAGATTGCTTGGATCGCCGCTGCCGCGGGGCCTGTCTCAGAGACATGTAACATGGACGGACTTGAACGACCAAGTGTGCAGCTGCTCCATCTGCATCTCCTCATGTCAGGAATCAGACTTGGGATTCCGTTGTCCTAGCGGCCGGCTGTCCATGAGCCGGAAGTCAAAGAAGCTTTTTAGAACATTCCGTAACGCACTGCGACCAAGATGTCCGCCATAAATATAATTGACGATGGCAATCACTTTTGTTACGGTATCTCGAGCCAGCACTGCATCTCTCGCTTTCAGCTCTACCACCTTTCGCTTCGACTTGCAGCCATCCTGACCTTCGGGCGGTGTTCGATTCGTTCCAGTCGTTTATATCACTTATTCTTTGTTTGTTGGCGCTAGTGTGGGACCGTGACAATCATGAAGACTACGTCTATCATCACTGCCGCTCTGGCCGGTGTTGTGATTGCTCGCCCTGGTATGGACATCAATAAGATGATGGCCGATGCCAAGCTCGAGGCTCGTCAAGCGGACGGTGGCGGTCCTTCGACAGAGCTCATTGGCGATCTTGTCACGCTTCGGGGCCGCGAACTCACTGCGACCGGCCAGGCAATCAAGGACATCTTGACTGCCGAGGCTCCAGGCCAGGACTTGAAGAGTTTTTACGATGACTCCGATCTTCCGCCCAAGAACTCGGCGGAGTGCAGAGAAGACGAATGCTGCATCTGGAAGTACATTGCCGATGATATGGCCGCACAAATGGTGGGCAATGCCGGCCGTTGCAACAATGTCGCTCGTGGTGCTATTCGCCTTGGTTTCCACGACGCGGCGTCTTGGTCCAAATCTACCGGCGGCACTGGCGCCGATGGCTCCATCATCCTTGCCAACGAGTGCAAGACGCGTTCCGACAATAAAGGTCTTGAGGAGATCTGCGATATCATGGAGGGTTGGTTTGCCAAGTACAAGAGGTACAAGATCTCCATGGCCGATTTGATCCAGACTGCCTCCAACGTTGCCACCGTCTCCTGCCCCTTGGGACCCCGAGTCCGCACCTTTGTTGGTCGCAAAGACTCGACGACGCCTGCCGTGAAGAAGCTCTTGCCGGATCCATCCGACAGCTCAGCCAAGCTGTTCAAGCTCTTCGCAGACAAATCCTTCACGCCAGCGGGCCTCGTCGCCCTGATGGGCGCGCACAGCACCAGCCAGCAACGCTTCGTTGATCCTTCGCGCGCCGACTCGCCTCAAGACAGTACGCCCGGAACATGGGATATCGCCTACTACCAGCAGACGCTCAACCCCAATGCCCCTCCTGCCGTCTTCAAGTTCCAGAGCGACATCAACGTTTCCCAGGATCCGCGCACCAACGGGGTCTGGAAGGCATTCGCAGCGGGGCCGCGCGGTCAATTCATGTGGAACGAGGTAAGACTGTTCCTGACGGCGTCACACGTTCGTCCCATCTGGATAGACTTCCCGAGACTAACAACCTAAACCTTAGGCTTATGCAACAGAGTACGTCCGCATGTCTCTGCTTGGTGTCAATAACATCAACGACTTGACCGAATGCACCAAGGCCCTGCCGCCTTTCCGCCCGGGCTTCCAGCAGCCTGATGAAGACTTGTTGACAAAGGTCATGGGGAGCGTCATCAACTCTGAAGCCATAAAGCAGGCCCTCGAAAAGGGTGACAAGATTCCTCCCAATGCCATATAGACTGCGAGGGAGGTGCGAGTTTTCCTTGCAGCGTACATACTGTTTTCATCCGTTTCCCTTTCTTTGTACCACCTCTTTGTATCATATCATTACCTGTAAAATAGGCCAAAGGCGTTTCCGGTGTTGCATGCATAGACCACCACAAAAGAGTCACGACTAACATGGGCCGAGGCTGGCCTCAACATGGCGTGGACCAAGATTGTTGGAACAGGAGGCGAGCTTCAGGAAGCATATTCTTTCTTATTTTTACTTGTAATTCCAACATTCTCTTCGACTGTGTTTCAACAGATCTCAGAATAAACAGCGCTAGAATTGCTGCAGAGTTGCCCACAACATATCTTGGCTCCTGTTCTCCTCGGCATCACAAGTACCTGCAAGGCCACCTGCAAAGAACAGGTATAATAGGTGTGTGTGCCTGACACGGTGCTTTCTCTGGGCAAGTGGACAGCGCCGTCTCGGCAGACCGATGATGAGACGATTGTGTCCTATTCAGATCGCCTGGTGGTCCCAACCCGCGCGCAAAACCTTCGCCCGAGCCAACCGATCCTCGTCTGCAGCGAAGCTTAATCACACGCATCACGCGCGGGTTCGACGCAAGGTACGTATGATTCCTCCTGCATACACCTACACCTTATTCCACAACACTCATTAAATCCATCCGAACTCTGTGCAGATGGGTTCGCCAGCTTCCGAACGCCTTCCACTCGCAGCCAGCCCTTTCAGCTTTTCAGCCCAGACGCGCACTGACTCTGTCCACCAGACTCCCACCACCAAGAAAGCCCTTGAGCGCGTTCGTCCTCTCCGCGGGACTCATTTTCAGGAACCGCACGAGCGTCCGGTCTTGGGTATTGTTGCCGTCGCCGCCGTCGCCGTCGACGTTTACGACTGGATAACCCCCCTTGACGACTGCGAGAGCGACCTGGGCCGCGTACATGTTGAAGCCGGCGCGTCGGAGAAAGACTTCCCACTCCGTCTCTTCCGACATGATGACCTGCTGCACGTCGTGGGATGCTTTCTTGAGGTGCGTCGAGACGAGAGCGCACGTCCAGTGGGCCAGTGTCTTTTGGCCGCCGGCCACGTAGACCACGTCGATGGTGCAGCCGCTGCTGTTGCTGATGGAGCATGCGAAAGCGACGAAGGATGCGTACGATGCGGCGTCGGCTGCGCTGAGGGGTCCGATGTGTTCTGCGATGGGATTGTCTTCCGAGACAAGTATACTTAGGTGTTCGTAGAGCGGTGCGACTCTTGTTACGCGGTCGCGGAGTTGAGAGAGCTGTGTGTGGGATCCCGGTAGGGGCTTCTGTCGGACCTTGAGGATTGTTGTGATGATTATACCTGTTGTTGGAGAAGGGATGATGTCGGCTTCGTAGGCTAGCGGGGACGGCTTTTCTACGGTCTTTACGCTCCCGGGGGACCAGACGAGTCTGTTGTGTCGTGAGAAGTCGCGGTCTACGAGATCGACGCCTGGTAGCTTGGCTTGGAGGGCCGATATGATTCCTCGCGGGACGGCAGTAGAAATGATGATGCGCGAGGGGTTGTTTGTGTGCTCTATGGTTGGGACTGGAGCATCGATGGGAGCCTTATGTGTATTCGGCTTCGATGATACCAGGCCGACGACAGGAGCCGGAGCTTCAGCGGCCCTGCGCTTGGTAATTGGAAACAACGGCTCGAATGTGCTTGTGACTCGTTTCGCACCTCGTAGGTCCATGTAGTTGGCGAGTAGCTTTCCCGCGGCATTGCTCTCATCTACTCCGAGGAGCAAGCTTTGCCCTAAGGACCTCGTCGGCTTTGACTGTGTAGTTGTGGTTGTTCGACGGTGTTTGACGCCCACAGTCGGTGACTCCTGATCTACGCGATCAACGTTGGCAGCTTGTTCCTGTTTGCGTTTTCGAATAAGCTGCATGATGTCCCCTGTTGAGGAAGGTGAGCTACTCTGAGCTTGGTGTTTCTCATAAAGCATCGGGATCTCTTCGTCGTCGTCGTCGTCGGGAAGTGTCGCCTTGAGTGTATGTATTTGCCGCACGTAATCGGCACTCGTCGGTAGTGTCGTAGATCGTCGTCCTTCAAGAAGACGTTGCAGCACTTTGCCATCTCCCACTGACTCCTTGACTTCCACCAGACCTAGGGAAGATGGGAAAGGGATCCATCGCAGCTCCTTTTGTTCTTGCCGATTCCGTGGCCACGGTGGCGATGTGAACTGCTCGGAGTTCTGGCAGCGGACCCAAAGAAACATCTCTTCGGGGCCTTGGGTAGCTCCCTCCCAAGCTAGTGTAGGTGCGCTGAAATCGAGGACTGGAGGCTGCATTCTGGCAATAGCGTCGATGACCTCGACCTGCTCTTGTTCGAGCTTTCGCGCCAGGATGCCTGCTCTCTCTGTTAAGAGGAGGTTGAACTGATCGTTGAATCTGGACTCTTCTTCCGAGCAAGGACTTGATTCTAACGGTCCTGGAAGGCTGATAGACTTGAACTCAGCAGTATCGCGAAAGATTGCCCGAAAAGTGTCTTCCTCTTCGCTCCTGGATGTAGAATCGTCGGACATGGGTAGGATCGGGATCTCCATGGCTGCTACTGTACCCTTTCGTTGGGGAGTGGGAATGTCGAAGCTGGGAGTGTCTGAGGGCATGTTGAGAATGACCGGCGCTGGGGCGTCAATGAACTCAAGACCATCATCGGCCTCGGCTAGGCTGTGTCGGGATCTCTCGAGATCCTCCTCGAGAAGGCTCTCCGGGTCTGAAGGCTGAGGTATCTCGCAGACATTGGCGTCCGGTATAAACAGCTCTGCATCTTCGGTATCGTCGAAGGGTATTGTGATTAGTGGTGGAGTCATGGTACCGACTCTGTCCTGAACGGATTATTAGTGACATCCTTCACACGATGGCAAGCCAGGTATGCTCACCATAGCTGGGACCATTTCCAGTTCTATCAATTGGTCAAAGTCCCTCTTGGACCATTCGACGTACGTTGACTCTGCCACGTATATCAGGTCTTCCTCGCTGTAGTCAAGCTCATCGACCTCGGCGCCTCTCGCAAGCTGATCGTGAAAGTGTACCGCAGAGAGCGGAAGTCCGAGACCTTCATCCTTCGTATCATCGATAGGCTCGCGAGGCAACGTGTTAGGCTTGCGGAAGAAGTCCAGACACTGGGCTTCGCCGACTGCTCGACCGAGAGATTTGAGATCGTGCCTTGGGTCACTTCTTAGCGACGGCAGCTCCAGCTTCGAGACAGCGTGCGAGAATCGTATGTGGGGTATGGTGGCCTCTATGGAAAGCTTGAAAATGTCTCCCGGAGGAAATACTTGGATGGACTTTGCGAGGATATCGTCGGCTCCGTCGTCTTGCACATCGATCTCGGGAGTGAAGGTAGGTTCTGGAACTACAAAGGACTGGAGATCAGGCGTGTCTTCCAGATCATTCGTACATTCAACAAAAGCTGCTTCTCGCAAGCGCTTAGCGATATGCTTCGGATGCGTAGGGATGTAGACCCTGGGATTGATGAATAGCTCCTGTATCAACGCATATTCGGCTGGCCCAACTCCTTCGGTGGACATGTTGCACCAAGATGTCTATGTCTTTGGCAAAAAGTTCGAACTTGGTCTGTTGGGGCAGTGGTCCTGGATGGAGAAAATGCGAACATCAACGAAAAAGATGAAGCTCGGCGTCAACGCCAAATCGGCGGTGTTACTCTGACGATGTGGGCATTCGGTGATGTGACAATCAAGATACTCGCCGAAAGATCTGGGGATATTCTTTGTGCGAAATTCGCGAGTACCGGTCGCAAGGAAGGAGTTCCATTGTCGTCCTGCTGCCTGCCTCAGGACGGGAGTCGGGCTTCGGGCGTCGTTCCAAAGTTCCTAAGGGCTCCCGGAGACCCCACTTCCACCGCCGTGCCTGCCCGTCGAAGTCGCAGCTCCGAGATACGTACACTGCCAGACAGCCAACGGGGCAGGCAGGAGAGAATCCGTGGAAGAGAAGACATGTCCGCATTGCCGGGTCGGTGTGGGGCCACGTCACCTCGGATAAGTCTCACGTCATAGCAGTAAGTCAGTAATCGTGCTGCCTCGAAAGAAGGATGTTAACTACTAACTCAAGGCAGAAGAAGTAGTCTTGGGTACGAGCATGCCAAATCCGGCAGCATCCGGTGATGCAGCCTGCGAAACCATCATCTTGGCGTCCGAGCGATGCCTGGTCATCGAATTGCGGGACACCACCTCTTCCACAGCTTGAGTGGATGAATACCTGTTAAGTTCCGATGCCTTTCGGAGCTAATCACGGATCGGGGCCGGCGGAGTTGCACACTGGGCCCGTCTATCCCTCTCCTAGCGCACGGGGCGGCGGCCGCTAATAATCACGCAAGCTATGTGCTTGCTTTTGAGTGAGGACTGCCCCGAAGCCACTCGGCTCGGGGGACGGGGATTGGGTTCAACGATCGGACGATAGATGGGCTTGGGGCCTAGCGTAAGGGGAAAATGGAGACCAACGTAACCCTACAGCGATTCGAGTACCACGTCTAAAGATGTGCAAGGGCGGCTGAGTAAGGCATTGATGGGGGAAGCCGGAGGGAGGTGGATGCACACTGCATCAGTGCGGAGACGGCTGGTTTCTGTTTCTTGTGGGAAAGTATAAAACTATTGCCTCTTACGGCTGATGCATCGCTGTTCTGTTTGCCTTGATTCTAGCTCCCCATCGTGGTTCAACTCACTTTACACTAACTTGATTCACCGATTCCGTTCCAGAAACGCAGTGTCTAAACAGGCAAGATGGCGACAACGCTGGGATCTAAAAAGTCAATTCGCATCGGCGTGATGTTGGAGGCCGTGCAGCTGAGCGACATCATGGGCATCGATCTCTTCGGCAATCTGTCTCGTGAATACTACAACAAAGTCAAGGACTTTGATCCCGAGTTCGCACAATGGGCCGATCACCCAGTCGATACCAAGTTCTACTTCATCTCATCCACGCTAGAGCCCGCCGAGATGACACCCGGTCTCAAGTTCGTTCCCAACATCACCTACGACGACTGCCCGCGAGATCTGGACCTCGTTCTCATCGGTGGCCCACTCCCCAACCATCGCCCCCCCGCTGCCGACCGCTTCATGAAGGAAGCCTACCCGAAGACCAAGGTCTGGTTGACAACGTGCATCGGTAGCCCTTGGTTGGCCAGCGCTGGGGTGTTGAAGGGGAAGAAGTGCACGACGAACCGCGAATTCTTGCCGTTTGTGAGGCAGGTTCACCCCGAGACTGAGTGGCTTGATCAGAGATGGGTCGTAGAGGAGAAAGAGTATGAGGGCGAGGAGAAGGGCGAACTGTGGACTGGAGGTGGAGCCGGCGCTGGTAAGACTTGTTTCGCTCACACTCTGCTCCTTGTTAATGCTTACATGACTCTAGGCCTTTCCATGATTATCACGTACTTGAACAAGAATTTCGATCCTGGATTCGTACAAAAGATGGCACTCGAAGCCATTGCATTTGAAGAGTTGGCGCTGAACCAGTTTTACAAGACCTCAAGGCTGACAGCATGAGCGGTCAGATAAAATCATTGAATAGTTACAGGAGTCTCCAACTTTTCACTATCGTGCAGAGCTGTTCTATCCGTCTTAATCATGTGTACTGAGAGGCTGTCTGTCATGCGTCTACGTAACGAATGATGAACTCTGGGGAATCATACCGATCCCAGCTCTCCGGCAAGCTTCTATCCGCCATGATCTTCAGCGCAAAGATGCTGAGCTGATATCTGCCAGCTGGCGCCCAAGAACCATCCGCCAAGCTACCATCCCAAGGGCTCATCCAGCCAATGGGCCTTACATAGGTCATGGGATATCCAGCTACGTTTCCAAGGGTCACCACACCGAGGCCGTTATCTCTGGCATCTGAATTGGTCTCAGACGCTGGAGACGCGACTGGCACGGCCTCGAGACGGACCTCGGAGCTTCCCATGACCAGCCACAAGAACTGGTTGGGGAACGCTCCAAGAGGGAGAATAAGGTCTGAAGTATTGGCCAAGGGTAAGGCCCAGTCAGGATGCGCAGCCGGAGCGGGAAGCTGAAATGTGGTGTTTGCGGGTACATCTGGGCTCCTTGGGTCGTCGCTGCGACTGAAAATGAGGCGATTTGCAGCCAAAACTGTGATGTTCTTCATAGATGTAGCTGCGCCGATGTAGGGGACCGATAGCGCGATCTCGCCCTCACCGTTGGTTCCGTTGAGAGCGACCCATCCAGAGTACAGTGGGAGAGTTGCGGCATCCAAACCCTTGGGAGGAACCACGCTGATGCGAACTTCACCGGTAGCGTTGGGTTCCAAGCTAAAGCTGGACGGCTCAAAGGTCAGAGTCGCGTACGTCGTGAAGAGCTCGGGAGAGCTCTGACGATAAATGTCCGTGAGAGTGGTGGCGGTCAAGGCGGGAATGTGGGACACGTTGTACGTTGCCGTTGTGTCTCCGACGTTAGTTATAGTGAACGTGGTGTCGGAGATGAAGTTGTCGGTGTCGTTGAACGAGAGACTGGCTACGCTGAGTACTGATGTAGCGTACGCTGCGTCGTAGGCCTGTACCATGCCGGCTCCTTGTTGTGGCACGGGACCAAGCCCGGCTTCGATGTTATCGACTCCGTAATTCTGTGAGAGGTTTGGCTTTGCGGTTGAAGCAAGAAGTCGTTTAATCAAGTCGGGATCTCTGGTCCCCCGTGCCTGCTCGGTGTCAGTCTGGTTATCCTGGTCAGGAAGACGTCGCCCTCGCCGCCTGAACCTACCTGGGATACAAGAGCTACGATACTGGCAACTAGGGGAGTTGCCATGGAAGTACCAGATGCTTCGGCATACTCACCAAGAGCAACAGGCCAGGTACTCAAGATACCGGCACCGGGAGCCCCAAAACTCGGCGCAAGCTTGAGCTCGAAGGTCGGGCCCCAGCTCGTAAAAGCTGACACCTTTCCCTCGCTATCAGCTCCTTGACTCTGGTAGGATGATATGGACATCACCCCGTCGCCAGTGCTCGGCGTGCTGATTCCGAACAGGCCTTCTGTACCGCCAACCTCGTTGCCAGCGGCGAAAGTGCAAGGAACGCCGGCATCCACGATCCGCGAGACAGTCACGGCAAACGCCTCACCAGCCCAACCATTAGGACCTCCGATGGATCCAGTGATGATATCGCTGCCATCCTCGAAGGCCTTGATCACACCCGCAAGTAAAACATCGCCAGTGGTTTGGCCGTTACACGCAAAGGTCCGGTACATGCCCAGCTTCACCCCAGGCGCCGCACCGGTGAAGCCCATGGGGTTCTCCATGGCGGCAATGATACCGGCGACGTGGGTGCCGTGGCCGAGACAGTTTTCAAAGGGATCTGCATCAGGAACAGGCGCGTTCGTGCCGTCATAGGCATCACCCACGATATCGGATCCGAACTCGACGAGACATCCTGGACCAAAGCAGCCGCCTAGGGCGGGGTGGGTGTAGTCGATGCCTGTGTCCACGATGCCAATCTTGAGACCTGTTCCGATAAAGCCCTTTGCACGGAGCTTGTCGACTTGCGTCATGACGTGGGGAGGCCAGTTATCTGTGGAGTTTGTTTGGCGTTTGTACTTGGATGGAGTCTTGTCTTTGCCGGTCCAGGTGATGTCTAGCTTTGGAACGCTGATCAAGGGGACGGGCCAGAGTTTCTTGACTTGCGGGAGGCCGGCGATCTTCGAAGCTGTCTCATTGTTGGAGTCCTCAACATGAATGGAAACACCCCTGAAGATCTTGGACTGAAGGTTGAGGCGCTGGGAGATCTTGGTCGCGCCGGTTTCTGTCTCAAGCTGACTGAGGAATCCAGAGCCATCCTGTAATGTGTTAGAGCATCGCCAATTGGCGCAGGTGAAGCTGGTGGACTGACTTGGTCGTCCGCGAACTCGACGATGAATGCGCCAGGAACGTTCGTATACTCAAAAACTGGCGTCACATCTCTCTTCACCGCCGATGCAGAGGATAATACCACGATGCCGGCCAATGCCGCAAGCGATGCTCTCAAAGCGACCATGATGAGCTGGTTTCTCTGGAACGAAGAGACCTCAAAGTCCTATAGCTCAGATCGATGAGAAAGCCAAGGGCTATTGTACCTAAGTTATATGCTTATTTATATTCTACATCTCGAGTCGTATGATGGGCGCGCTTCGGAACCCAATGCCCGTGGTCATCAATGTCGCATTTGACACTATCGCCATGGGGTGTTGGGGGGTACATTCTCCACCAAAAATGGCCCAAAACTGGCATTCGGATAGATGAAGCGACTCGACAGTGCGGGGCAACACGAGCTTACTGAGAGCAATTGAGCAAGATAAGAGCGCCAAAGGTAGAGGGCTATATTGTGATCTTCTCACGGTTGCAGTGGAGGGATCCCCTCATCACCAGCTCGGAACCTGTCGAGTCTAGCGAAGAAGTTTGTCTGTGCCGCAGCATTCAACAGTCTTGTTGCAGCGGTTCGGATGGCACAAGCAAGGAAATCTGGAAATCCATCAACGGGGAACGAGGGGCATGAGGAAGGTGGTATTCTGCATAACCCCCTTGTTACCATCGCCGGCGCGAATGCAACGTGATCTTGGCGCATATTGTGTACAGAGTTGCTTCAGTTGGCGTGACCGGAATGATGGCCGATACCGAGAGTGCTCAAGAAGGAGATTTCACGGCGATCAAGGTGTGGTGAGATATCGGGAGGATTACCAAGGCTCGCATTCGGTCGGGGGTTTGACTACTAGAGTCCGTCGAAACGCAGCACACGAAGCGCACATGTAAGAGCCGACATGCAGCGTTTTCGACGTCAAATATTAAGCTTACATTCAACTCGGATATTAGGCCTTGCAAAGTCAGAGTACTACTAGAGGGTCTTCATGCCGACGTCCCGTTCACTACCGACCACGCTCCCTCCAAGTACAACTTGTCCAGCGCCGCCGCCGCCGTGACATTGTCAACCTTGAGGTTCAACCAGTGCTGATTAGTGACATTCCTGTCATAGACCCACTCATTTGACCCATTGGCATAGACAAAGTTGCGCCCGTACTTGTTACCGTATTCAAAGATGTCCCCGAGGCCTTGCATTGCATACAGCACCGTCAGTGGATCCCACGACTGCCGGGGCCGATAAAAGTTGTAGTAAATGTAAGCCTGCCGGACCGGATCCGACACGGGACCCTCGGCGAGCAGCTTCGCTCCGGACAGCACGATCGAGCCAACCTCAGTGCCGCAGAACACCATACGGCCCTTCCAGTTGTTCACGACGTGTGCCGTGTGTGAAGGGTTGTCGCCAAAGAAGTTGAACTCACGACCAGACGGGTACTCCCCGCCCATGACAACCAGCTCCGAGACCTTGCTCGCAATTAGCGCGGGGCCCGTGAGGTTAGAGATAGCGTCGGCGGTGGAGTTCAAAAGCGCGGAGAGGTTCTCGAAGAAGCCGATGGAGACAATGGTTACGGGCTCGTCGGCCTCGGCGAGGATCTTGCGATAGAGCGTTACGGCGTCGGAAGCGTTTTCGGCCTGGCCAAAGGGGAGCGAGCCGCCCGAGTAGTGGTACGAGATCTTGCTTGCGTACTCGCCCAGGTCGTAAGCAAAAGTGTCAAAGAAAGGCTCGTCTGTCATTGGCCTGCGCGCGCCGATGGGCACATCTGCGAGGCCATAGTGGGCGAGTATTGCCGAAGTCGCCGTGACGGAGTATGTCGAAGGGTAGTTAACGTTGACACCGAGAAGATTCACGTCTGGTGAGGTTGCCGCGAGGAGGAGGGCGCCCGTATCACTGTTGCGATGTCAGAGCCTAGGTTTTCGGATTGGGGGACATGGGTGGCACTGACTCGCAGTCACTGAAGATGTCAGTATCGATGATAATGTTCTTGCGGGCTGCCAATGCCGGCTGTATGGCCAGCGCGGCGGCAGCAACTCTTACGATGGACACTGAGACCATGGCTGATGAGGCTTGCCATCCAGAAAGTGTCTTGAGCCAAGTTCATGAGTGAATGACGGGTTGGAACACATCGGACGAACTGGTGTTTGTAACCTTTTAGGGGAGAATCCTTATCTTGACTCGGTAGTATGGGGGGAAATAGAACTCCTCTTGCCAGGGGTCGACTCCGATTTTAGGAGATGAGTGGAGCTTTTCGTTCAATTTGAAGGGGATTTTCCACGGAAAAAAATCCTCCTTGTCAAGGTTCAACGTTGAAGATCCAGCTTCAGTGACGGAGGTGAGCCGATAAGGAATTCTCTTGAGATTGCTACGTTAAGCAACGTCTTGAAAACTCAATATTGAAGCAGATGGGCAATCGACATGCAGCAAATGGCGGGAAGACACGGTGCTGTATCGATCCCGAGACTAAGCTATTTCCGATTCATTTAGATCATATGTACATCTATGTTGTGGTAGAGCTCGTGCGGTCTAACGCATCTACTAAGAACAAGCGCCCGGCTTGAATCAAGAAATAGCCAAACTCCACTGATGTTCTAAAGTATGCGTTTCTCAACATCTCGGACGAATCCTCACCGGTATCTCTCTATCAAATGCATGCGATCCAAATGGCATAGCTCGATGATGTGACCGAGCTTTGGCCCCATCCGCCTTGTCCAGAATTTCCACGTCGAAGTCCCTTAAAATGAGAAAGACGGAGACGAGAATAGTGTTCTTCGCCAAAGTCTCGCCCGGACATCTCCAAGCGCCTCCTCCAAAGGGGAAAAAGTGCCCTCGCAACGCTGACGGATTCGACAGTTTGGCCTTGGAATCGTCGCGCACGTACTTCTCCGATACATTGTAGCTGTACCTCGCCGAGCTGGATTTCCGAAGCGGGCCGCTTGTCGGATCATCGGGGTACTCGAGGAACCGCTCCGCCCAGAAGGACTCAGTAGAGTGTTCTTCGACCCCGTTGATGGTCCGGCCCGTATTCCAGATGGCTCCGTCGAGCCCGCCCAGCCAGTTTGCTGATAAGGCGGTGGTCCCCGATGGCAGAGTGGAGAAGGAATCCCCGTGGGGACGGAGACCGGCACCGACCGATTTGCGGCCGATAGCGCCGGCAACGTGAAGCCGTAATGTTTCTCGGTAGACTGAGTTGAGTAGCGGAGCTGATGATAATGCTGTGCAGTCCAGTGATTCTTCCTCGCTGTTGTCTCTAATGCCTGACTCGTGCCTTAATCTGGACGTAAGAGTTGCGTCCAGGAGAGCATGCAGCACCATCCAGCAGGCTGCTGGAATGGTGTTTGCAGTTGTTCTACAAGATGATGTTAGACCAAGTCCACCTCCAACTTGCAAGACCAGGAGTAAGTAGACTTACACAAATAAGAAGCCCAGAATGACACTCGACGTTCCGGCATCCGAGAACCCGAGATCCTCATAGCGCCGAACCATGTTCCTCACGTAGCGGGTGCCCCAGATAGGATCAGACTCAGCATCACCCGGTTCCGCATCATCATTGTTACTGTTCGAGTTGCACCAGACTCTCCACTTGCTCAGACTCCCGATTATCCGGTCGCGCGTACGGTACTGGGACGGATACATCCATCGTGGGCTCCCGCGTGAGACAACAGGGAATGCATCGTAAAAGGCCCAAAAGTCTTTACAAAATGATGGACAAAGCCTGAAGATGTGCTTCCCATACAGCGCCTCGACTTCCGCACGGAAGATAGCGCCGCGAATGAACTTGTACAAATCAGGGAGGACGACGGGATCTTGGTTAGAAATAGAAGCGTTCTGTGGGCTGAGTCGTTGACTGAGGTTGGAAGAGAATCTGTCCATCACAAGCCTCAGATTCTCCCCGTTCAAGAAGGTGATGAAGTCTTTTCGTTGATGTTCCATGATCCTTCGGGATGCGTCCGGATGAGAAGTTGAGAGTCCTGCGTCGTCACGCCTCTCGAATGCCGAGATGTGACCATGGTCGAACACATGATAGTCCACCGCTTCCAAGCCGAAGAAGATTGTCAATGCTTCGAAGATCCCAGGGACTGGGACGAGGTCTCGAGGTCCCTTGAAGAGTGACCGCACGCCTTCGCCGGGAAGAACATAGCAAAGCGAACTTGCAGGTGCTGAGAGGGATATCACGGTATCATGTAGGCGAGACCTGAGGCTGGTATTAGCAAGCATCAAGCTGAGGTGGATTTCCATCAAGTTCACGTACTGTAGAGGACGAAGGAATTTCTCAGCGTTGAAGAGAATCGCATAGGCATGGCCAAGTCCTGGAACAAAGTATGGAGGTATGACAGGCTGTCTACTTCCTAGCTTCTCGTAACGCTGATTCTGCCAGAGAAAGCGGATGGAGGTGAGAAGATAAGTGAGAAGAAAAGGAGTGCTCAAGACCAAGGCAGAGCATGCGGTCTTGGCGAGGGTATCTCGTCTCGCATCACTCAGACAAGCTTCTCCAAGCACTGAGGTGAACATGATCAAAGTCTGGATTATTATCAGGCCAATAGCTTCAAATCATTAAGAAAGAGGAAAGAGAACATCCATGATCAAGAGGATCTTTGGGTTTCTTTATAGCATCATTCGATTTCCAAAAAGCCAGGGACCTATTATCACATGGAAGTTTTGACATATCATACAACAGCTGGTAATCGCGCAAGTAGCTATCTATTTACATGGTCGCGGGAGGTTTCAAGGTGTCATTGGGGGCCAGCATTACCCGCTGCCTTGATTTTGGCCCCTCGTCACGCAGCTCGTGTTGGTTGTGAACATGAAGACTTGGCTGAAAGGAATGCGGCAGAGTACCCTTGCCGCGGGTGACACCTTATTTTGGCAACTCTTCAGCAAACAATGTTCATCTTTACGGCACGACCGCCGCAGAAAGACATATATCACTTATCATGGCGCTTCTCCGACTCCAAGGTGGCTTGCGGCCCGGATTGCATGCTTCTCGGTACTCGGTGGATCCGTGCATTTCGTTTGCTCGAGGGAATAGTGATATCAATCCAAGTCGGAGATCCCTCAACTTGACATCTCTTCCAGGATGTCGTGGATCACGATTGGACGCCCGGTTTGTTTGCTTGGTGAGGTAGCTTTGGTGAAGGCAACGTCAAGCGCTGAGCCGCCGCACCTCCGAGTCTACCGCCGGCATTTGATGGAGACGGACGGTGACTTGATTTGCATGTGTAAGGTACTCGGAAAAGAGCATGCGCAGTTACCAATAAAGACGTGGCGAGCTTTTGACTACGACACCAACCCCAACACTGAGCCTCCGAGTTTTGGGGGTCGGGATTCTGCACACAGCTTCGGAGATGGCCCCCAAGAATGGTAGAAGAATGTGTGGGACTCCGTTGTGATGCCACATGGGATTGGGCTGAACTTTTGTTTGCTCATGTCGTTGGAAGAGGCAACATGGTCGTTGAGGAAGCGATAGGTTTGATTGGGCCAGCGGGTTGGCTTTGCCGCAGGTGAGGAAGAATCCATGCTCCCACGGGATGGATGCACTGTGACACTCTCATGCAGGCAGTCACTCGGCTGGATTCAGCCCGCCACGGCCCACGGGTGACAATGGGTAGCAGGCGCCACTCCCGCGGCATCCTCTATATCTGACAGATATCTTCGAGCAGACAGGAGGGTTACACATTATTCCTTCTGGACGGGTGGCTTGATGTGACGATTTGGGACTCTGCAGCCATGCAGCCAGTCTTCCTGTTTGCCTTTGTGTATGCGGTGACCATCTGCAGATTCGTCAACTTGGTAGGTAAGACACTAGGACAATCCCAGGTTATTGGATCTTACACAGGTCACTTGTACAACATGTCGCCATCAGGACCGTTGTGGGGGCATTGTTGAAGAGGATGTGCATTCACAGAGCTCGCAAGGGAGTAGGTTCAAAAGCATAGCGGTCTGATGTTGGCGGATTGGAATTATTCCCTCTCCGCACAGTATGGACTTCTGCCCAAACTACTTCGGGGTCCCGCCCATCCCCAACAGCTTTGGCCTAGCTAAGAGATAGAACAATAGAAACAATGTGGAAAAAGTTCGAGGCCTTCAGAAAGGCAGTCTTTTTCTGCAGAAATTCAAGACCTATTGAGTTGAATATACTAAGGTACCTCGGGTAGACCTTGGGTAGGGAACTCATCGGCCATTGAACACCAAGCAGGACGATCCGTGTCCTTGCCGGTGTCGGATCGGATGACGGCGTGTAGTTGAAACTCTGGACAAGATTCTATCAAATTCCTACCTGAATATATCCTTCGAAGACTGTAGATTCAATCCCCAATAACACGAACAGCACATCATGTACAAGCCTCTAGGATCATGCCCCGAGGTCTTCCAAGATCGTTTGCTTGCGCAAGATTCCCGGAAAGCAAGTTAGACCGGGCTAATGGACACACTGTTACAGCTTGCCTGACTCCGACATCCATGCCCTGCAGGATCTCAATGCCGTGTCAGATTCGTTCCGTACCGTGAGGGCCGCAAGCTCGGGGCAACGCGGGTTTCCGTTTCCTCGGGCCATGGTCAATATAAATGGAAATTACCCCACAAGGGCCGGGCGGTCCGTGAACGCCGACAGGATAGTTGATGTAATTAGCACAGAGATCTCGTGGTTGGGGTAATTGTTAAGCATTCCCCGCGTTGTGTCTACTAACACGTAACACAACACAGAAGCTTGACGGCTCACAACAGTGCCGGTGGGAAACTTCCTCTGTGCGTCGATAGAATGCCGAGGTCCTGATAACAGTATACTATCAACCCCGCCTGCTGTTGGGCATGCTGAGTTGGTAAATCTAACAACACACAACCCAACCATTGACTGCCTGCAAGTCATCAACCAGAGCCAAATTCCAGGTATTCAATCCGTAGCCTGCACAAGCATGTCTTCTCAATCTCGAGAAGCCCCGTGGAAGGCCATCGCACAACGTAAACAGGCTGAGAGAGCAGCGCGCATCCCATCAAAATGGCATATCCCAATCAACGCCATCCCGAATATCCCGAATGACCCCCCTCAACCAGGTGACGGGCCACAGAGAGTTCTTGACATGCCGCGCCAATTCTTGTCTCAATCAGAAATCTCAATCACCGAAACCTACACGATACCAACTCTGCTCAAGGCCATAGGGACGCGCGAGCTCTCAGCTAGACAAGTCGCCGAGGCCTTCTGCCATCGAAGTGCCATAGCGCAGCAACTCACAAACTGTTTGACGGAACCATTATTCGACACCGCCTTGAACCGGGCTCAGTTTCTCGATGACTACCTCCGCGAAAACGGCGTCCCCCTTGGCCCCCTCCACGGCCTCCCCGTCTCCGTAAAAGACACATTCAACGTTGCAGGCGTCGACACCTCAATGGGGCTGGCATATCTGTGCCACAAGCCCGCAGCCTCCAATGCGCCGCTGGTTGATCTCCTGCTCTCTTTGGGGTGCGTCATCATCGCCAAGACCAACATTCCGCAAACTCTCGGAAGTCTCGACTCCGTCAACAATGTTTTTGGGCGGACCATGAATCCTATCAACCGACTTTGCACCGCCGGCGGATCCTCCGGCGGTGAGGGCGTCCTCGTGGCCATGAAGGGTTCTATGATTGGCATCGGGACCGATATTGGGGGCAGCATCCGCGTGCCTGCTATGTGTAACGGTGTCTATGGCTTCAAGCCCTCCAATGGACGTGTTCCGTACGGCGGACAGGTTCTTACTGGCATCGATGGTATGAGCCGCACTTCCGTGCAAGCTGTTGCGGGCCCAATTGGCCGTAGTGTTGAGGATATAGATGCTCTCCTGCGTGAGATCGTCCCTCGGGCAGCTCTATGGGGCGAGGATTGCATGCCCGCATCATGGCCCTCCAACTTGAGAGGATCGTCGATCTCGGGCTGCCGCAGGAACGGGGAGTTGGTTATCGGCGTTCTTCGCACGGATGGAAATTGCAGCATTCATCCGCCTCTTGATCATATGCTGGACGAGGTCTCTTCGGCTCTTTCGCACACACGCGGTGTGAAGGTGGTTGAGCTGTCATGTCCCGCGGCACTCACCAAGGCGCAGTCAGTCATGAACAAGCTCATGGGCGTCGACGGCTCCGTCACCATGGCTGAGATGATTGAAAAGACAGGCGAGCCTCTAGTACCGTGGACAGCAGCACGATTCAAGAAGGGGAAGCCGCTGCCACTTACGCAAGTTGCTGGGCTTCAGGCACAACGAGCAACGTTGGAGCGGGAGATGCTCAAGATGTGGGTCGAGAACGATGAACATGGCCGCAGGCGAGAGAAGCTAGATGCTGTGATATGTCCGGTTGCGCCGCATCCTGTGCCGCCCATCGAAGGGTACAATGCTGTTGGTTTGACTAGCAGCTGGGTGATGCTTGACTATCCTGCAGGAACAGTACCAGTACGAGACGTGAGGGAGAGTGATCTACAGCTTGGTCGGCCACAAGGGGGAAAGGTCTTGAGTAGCTGGGACGAGAGGAACAGAGAGCTGTGGGACGAGAAGAAGATTGACCGAAAGATCTACCTGGGGACGCCGCTGAGTGTTCAGGTCGTTGTACCAAGGTTGCGGGATGATCGACTGGTTCAAGTCATGGCTTGCGTAGATGCAGCTTGCAAGGGCACGGGTGTGAACGCAAAGCTCTGAGTTGAGTTACTTTTGTAGTAAAGAGAATAACTCGCCTTGGTTCGAAATGCAAATTGTTCTAACACGTGCTGCATGATACTTCAGGGCAATCTACCATCAAAAGGTATGTAAGGTTCTACAAAGGAAGCCATAGCGCTGACCCCAGTGCCCAGATCGATCTCATTCATCACGGCGTCCCAGTCTTGAGGAGCCATGATGTGATCGTACGGAGGTGCTGCGAAATTGACGTCTGGTAAAGAAGGGATATCCTCAATTTCCCGTTGTTCATACACTTGCTCCGAATGCTGTGACTTCTTGCTTATCAAGGATCTCCGCTTGGTAGAAAAGCTGGCGAGCTCATAGAACGTCTTACACACATCGTACAGCTTCTTGGCTGAAGGCGAACTGCTTGATGTGGGTTCAATGGCAGTGACTGCGCTGCAGAGGAGTGTTAGGTCCTCTTCGGACGCCGTTGCCACGGTGTGTCCCGCGAGCACTATGAAGCTGGCAAAGGGCACTAGAGAGAACATCCTACTAAAATATTAGTAAATTGCATCACGAGTCACAGCAGCGTCGTTTGAGAGCATACATGTTGAGAAGCATTGACCATCCAGTGATTCTGAGGTGGCCCCACGATTCGAAGGCTCTCACAATCGTACGAAGGGCGTTTCGAGCAGCCTCCGTGCATTCGCTGCTGCATTTCAGTGGGCTATCGTTTCCTTCATCGCGTGGGATGACACGATAAGCTATCGTAACAAGACCGTACATCATGAAGTCTAGCAGCACGGCAAGCGCCTTGTAAAGATCGTCATCGGGAGGGTTATGTTTGATAGACTGCGGAATTCAGCAAAGTCCTTCCAAACAGTATGATAAATC